GGTCAGTTTCCTACTGGCTTCACCAAGGCCTCTACTGAGTCTAGAGGTTTAGGGACAAATCTGCTAGTCCTTGACTCGGTGTGTGTCATGTTGCACTGTCAAAGTACAGACCACTAAAAAAGCTGCAGATCAGAATCTTCCCACACGAGAGGCACAAGGAGATACTGTCTGGCTAGCTATTTTTGCTGCATTTGTAAGGCATAACCTATTTTTCCTCTGCAGTTATAGTTCGCCTGGTGCCTTTTGCCCCTGAAGCAGACGAGAACATTGAGCTATATGCTCTTGGGTATCTCTGAGGCTCCCAGTCAGCATTCTCACATGAGGGTGAGAGTTCAACTTTTATCTTTTGGCTGGTTTCAATGAAATTGCAGAAATCTGTAGATATTATTTCCATCGCACTGCTCAAAGATAAGAAGTAAAGGATACATGATACAGTTCTTGCTCTAAGGATGGGGACTGTCCTACAGGTGACAAGTCCAATCTGGGGCTCAAAGGCTGAAGGGAGGATCAGGAGAGGTGCTTCCCATAAAATCCAGATGTTTGCCCAAGGCTTTTGATCCCATCTAGTGGGACTGGCCTGACACGTGAAGTGATGACCAAAACCTTAATTGTGGGTGCCAAGATGAGGGGTCCTTTTCTTCCCTTGTAACAAGGTTTCCCTGGTCCACCGACCTTCTTGTTAAATCTCATCTTAACAGGTAATCCTTCTCTGGGCATTAGCTCAGATCTCAGTAGATAAAGAATGAATGTGAATGTTAATTCATGCTTTTGCTTTATCAAGTTATAGGTAGAAAAGTGAGGACTTCTCAGTTATGGTGGAAAATTTTCCCAAACCTCTTGCTCATATTATACTATTTTCCTGAAATGAGCTCACCACATTTGGCACTATATTCCAGTGTACTCACTTCTCAGTATTCGCAGCCTTTCTTGTTTGGAGATAGGATGTGGTGAAAAAGTAACAAAACCTATTACTTAAGTATCTTTAAGAGGTAAACTCTGTGGGGGCTGATTTCGTTTTTCTAAAGCAGTACCATCAAGAGAGGAGCAAGAGTTCAGCTGGTACAGAACGCAGTGACCCAAGAGACAGACATTTTTCGCACCACCATTATCCCACTGCATTAAGCTAAAAGGTTTACACTTACACAACAGTCCCCTCTTACCCAAGATTTTGCTTTCTGTGCTTTCAGTTACCTGCGATCCAAAATGGAAACATTAAATGGAAAATCTTAGTGATAATTCCTGTAAGTTTTTACCGGGCACTGTTCTGGGTAGCATGACAAGATGGAATCTCACACCATCCTGCTCCATCTGGGTGGGACCTAATCCATCCCTTTCTCCAGCGTATCCAAACTGTATATGCTACCCGCCCATTAGTGTACTGAGAAGGGTGAGTTTACATAGGGTTTGATACTACCCGTGGTTTCAGGCATCCATTGGGGGTCCTGGAATGTAACCCCTTTAGATAAGAAATGGACTACTGGAGATGCATCTGTCTTGGCTAAATGGTTTTAATGGCACAGCTTGTGTAACTGAGCATCTAATCACAACTCAATAAAAAGCAGAAATCTGGAACTCAATAGAATGAGCTGCAGAAGTCTCATAATTAAGAACTGCAAATTCTATTTCTTAAACAATCCTCAACCCCTATGTGCCATTACCCACAGCTCTTACTCTGGTGAAACACATACCAAAACCATGATTTACTGAAAGAATATGGCTTTTCTGGTTGGAAGCCCTGGGCTGGCACCTCAACTCTGTCACTTTCTAGCACTTTAGGGAAGTTAACTCCAACCTCAATGCCTGCCATCTGTAGAATAGTGATACCACCCACCCATAGTTGCAGGGTAGTGCTTGTGACTAGATTTATTTTATGTCAGGAGTCTATTATATTGTCTGGCACTTAGGAACAGATTTCTATTGGCATCCCAGTAACATACGCAATAAAAGTAAAATGTGCTAATATGTAAGTTTAAACTATGCTTCATTTTCTTTTAAAAATGTAATAGTACATTCTGACAAAGTCTTGGCTCTGGCTGAGTTTATATTCCTGTTCCTATACTTAATTTTAAGTCAGTAAATGAAGAACACAAATTACATATAACAAAGGTTCTCCTCTAGCTTTAACAGCATCTGAAATTAACTAGAAAGAATACACAGAATGAGAACTCCAATTATGAAAGACAAAATATGTGTATATTACTTGCTTAGATTTGGGAGCCTAACTGCTCACAAAAGGATTTATAGATTTTTTTTTTATTGTTAAGCTGCAACATACATGGTTTAATACAACAAAAAAACCACATTTAATCAAGTGAAAAGTAATAAACTGAACAATAAACAAATAAACACTCAAAACAAAATATTTTCCATTGGAAACATGTTAAGATGAATACGGGGTTTCATTACCATCTTACTGCAATTTTCTTATGTGTTACTAGCCTACATACCCCATGTTTTCTGTAATCATGCAGATATGAATGGAAGTTTGAATGATTAAATAAATGAAAAGTCCGTTTACTGCAGAGAATCATTTCACAAGGCAGCCAAACTAGGTTTAGAGAACAAAATTATTCAAGAAACTCTCCACGTATTTAGGTTCATTTTAGAATCCATGAACCTTAAGCTGTTCCTCTTTGACAATGCCAACCTGCAAAATAAAATTTAATTTAGCAGAATTATTGAGTAATAAGTTCATCTCTAAAAAAACATAGAAGTGGTCATTAAAAAGAATCATTGTTAATAAGTTATGGCAACACTATTACTTGTGGCAAATCGTTAACAAACAATTCAATACATATTTGAAACTAAGTACCAACTCTGTCCTTCACTTAAAATTAACTTATTTACTTCATTCACAACTTTCTTTTTACATAGTACGTAGTAATTCACATTGCCCTTAAATACAATTTTATAAGCAATCTCAAGTTTGTACATAAAGCATCCAATCACTCACCTCCAAAAGGAACTGGCAAATGTTTTTTCTTTGGTCACCTTGAAGCTGAATAACCTCTCCGTATTCAGGATGTTCAATCACAGTACCATTACAGGCAAATTTCTGAAGAAGTAGGTTCAACATCAGTCAAATACAGTGAGATTTTATTTTCACTCTAAGACTAAAATTAGCTATTTCAGTAGGCTTGATTACATTTAAGGAACAGATTTTTGTGTCCTGTACTCCCTAAGTTAATCTGAAAATGAATCAGCAAGTCACATAAAGGAAATGATTTTACTTGGAACATGGCAAACTGAGCATTTTACATTTTATTTTGCTTGAAAGCCACGTAAATCTTATTTTAAGATGGGAGATCAGACATAAATATCTGGAAGTTAGTTAAGGGTATGAGCAGTTTTCTTGGGTCCAATCATTTTCATCCACACTAAAAGTCAAGTAAAGGTGTGAACCATAATCCCGTTTAGAGGTGTGCATCAATAACTAGATTTTAATCTCTCCTCCCTAACATCTTTACCTTTTTGAAAGCTTTCACAAGTTTCTTTTTGTCATAATCATCTGCAATGCCCTGAACAGTAGTCAGTGTCTTTCTGCCGTTCCGTTGCTGGATTCTTATATGAATGTAATCCTCAGTCCCTGCCGGGAGTAAGTCGTCACCCTTAGTTGCATCAGCAAAGGGGTCTGCAAAGGGATACCAAAAAATCCAAAGCAAGACAGTATCTTTTAGTAATTTCCAGATATATGGTATGCTACAATCTAGACAGTCAGCAAAGAAGGTTCTAGTGCCTTTGCTTTTTTTCCTGCAGGTGGGGATGAGGAGGTGATGGGGTAGAATATTAATAAAACCTCCAAGTACTCTCACAAAAAGAGGATTTAAGCTGGTATGTCTCCTGATGCCTAAACAGAAAAACGCTGTTATAGGCAGATAATGCTATCGCTGAATACAGTCCTCTAATTAGAGAAAAGAAATGTTAAGATCTCACTTTTATAGACACTATAAAAATGTGCGTCATCTCGATTACATTCTGATGACAACAGAAACATTCACAGATGCCACCCCAGTCATTTAATGGTAATAACCCTGCCTCGAAAAAAGTAAAAAAGATAAATGTACGTATACCTATGAATCAATCAAGAAGCGTAATGTAACAAATTACTACGCAAGTAGAGAAGGTTGGGCCACTGCCCAGTGACAGATCGGAGGCCTGATCCTCATCTTTTACTAAATGCCCCGACCGCTAAGGTACGCAGATTCCCCAGCTCCCGGGCCAGGGTCTCCCTGGCGAGAGGCAGGGCAGGTCTGGGGGCGGTACACGGTCGCAGAGGTGGCGTGGGGCAGAAGCCAGGCGCAGGCGGGTAGAGTAGCGGGCGGGGGCCGGGGTCCGGCGGCCGTCCTCGGGGAGGGGGTCGCCAGGGGCCCAGTCGCCATCTTCTGGGCGCCGAGACAAAGCCCCACTCGGGGTGCGCGGAGGGCGGCCGGGGGCCCTTCGGGGAGGTGGTCGGCGAGCGGCCCCGGCGAGGGCGGGCAGGGGCGGCCGGCCGGCCGAGGAGCCCCCGGGGGACGGAAGGGGACAGGAGGGGGCGGCGGGGCGACCCGATCTTACCGAAAGATTGGAGGTTCTGGATAGTGGACATGCGATACTAGTGTGAGGCCGGTGAGGGGATAAAATTCCTGCGGGGCCCGCCCGGATCACTGTGTCAGGAGGCTGCAGTGGCGAGAAAACGGAAATAAATAAGGAGACGCTTCGCTCTGGGGTTGGGATGCGGCTGGAGCGGCGGTGGCGGCGGAAGCCGGGAGGAGGCAGGAAGAGGCAAAGGAGGAGGCGGAGGAAGAGGCGGCGGCGACGGATGCTAGGACGCTAGAGAAGAGGCGGCGCTGCGGCTTCTCCCACAAAATGGCCGGCAGAGACTATTTAGCCGCGCCCGCCGCCCCTCCCACGTGACCCACCCGCGCCAGGCACCCTGGGACTTGTAGTTTTTCCGAAGCGAGCGAGCCGGGAAAGCCTGGGGCGGGCAGACTTCCGGGACCTCAATTCCCAGCAGGGAATGCGCCCTCCAGCTCCGGGCAGCAAAGCCGGGAAGACCCGTGGGGTCAGAGCAGAGAGAACCTACAGGACCGTGGGGTCAGCTACCGCGGAGCTGGCTTGCAGGCTTTCTCCAGACTCCCCTTCTCTCGCCGTACAATGGCAACGCTGAGGGGTCGGTGTTGGGGGGATAATCTCCACCGGTCACTCTCGAGGCACTGGGTAATGTAAGTAAAATCGGGGTACAGGAGCGAAACAAGGCCCCTAGCCCCGGCTTTCGACTCGATGGCCGCCCCTCAGCCTTTCCACTTCCCCCATCCCGCCTCGCTCGTTTTGCAGGAGGCCTGTTGTCCCAAGAGGCGAGGGGAGCCTCTTGCCCAGGACTGGGCGGCCCTCCGGTTCCCCAGCGTGGTGGTTCTCAAACTCCAGCGTGCATCTCCCGGAGGGCTTAATAAAACAGATTGATAGACCACAGAGCTTCTGTTTTGGGAGGCCTGGGGTGTGGCCCAAGAGTTTGCAAATCTAACGAGCTGCCGGAACATGCTGCTGGTGCTGGTCTGGGACCACGCTTCCGAACCACTGCTCAGCTTCAGTGGGGGCCAGGCATTTCCCCCAGCTTGACTGAACGTACCCGAAAACCAGCCTGTCAACTTGAACACAAAATTTTGAACAGGAAGGTTATTTGATAAGAGAGGTATCAGAGCTGCCATTAAGTTTCTAATCAAGGTATACCCGACAAACCTGGGACTACGGGAATGCGCTCACCCAGGCAGGGTCAAACTTGTCAAACTTGGGTGGCTTTCTGGAAGCCAAGAGATAGACTAAAAGTTAGGGACTGTTAACCTTGTTTTGTGCCAGGGCAGTCTTGTGAAGCCTGTGGACTCCTCAGAATAATGTTCGAAGTGCTTGAAATAAAACATAGGAAACACAAAGGAAACCTAATCTATTGAAATTAGAAACAATAAGTTGGTAACATCATGTTGCTTCTTTACTAATGTATTAACAAGATCTAGCAGCAGGTCTATTAGTTATTAGCAGCTGGAATTTACAAAAGGTATTTTGAGATGTCTGTAACATCAGAAGTGTAATATGAAAATATCTGTGACTTCCATTGGTGCAAAATTACAGATCCTTCACATACGTCTGGGATGTTGCCAGCATTCATAATGGAGGAAAAGCTAAATTTTTTTCTTAAACTTTAAGTTTAAAAAAGTAAGAGGTTAGTGAAAATATAGGTATAGTCTTCTTTTTCCCATCCAATTTTAGGAATCCCTTTCTTAACCATAACCCCATCCCCATCCCCAATTTTAGCCATGGACCAAGGATCTGCAGACCCCAGGTTAGGAATATCTGGCTTTCATAATCTTCTGTGATTAACTGTGTTGCTAGGTACCATTTATTTAGTGCATTCTATCTACCTCTTGTAAGTATTATACACAGAATTATTCATCTTCATAGCCATGCTATGATGTAGTTATTACTCGTTATACTCATGTAGAAATGGAGGCTTTCATGGCCTGAAAAAAATCAAATTTTCAGCTCTCAGGAATCTAACTACATTTTTTATCTTTTAGTCCTGATTTAAATAACACTTTTATCATCCAAACTAAAGCGTAAAGTTTTAGAGCTGGTTCTAAAACAATGAGAATCAAATTTTGTTGTTGTTGCTCTTGTGTTGATTACATCTACAGTGTTTCTGTTCTTTAGTCTTGTACCTTTATAAACACACGTTAAAGTAATTTTTAATACTACTCTGGATGAACTGCAGAATAAATAAAATGCATCTCTATCTCTGTTATCTCTCTTTCTTACTAGATGTCCCAAACCGTTTTATATTTTGTTGTTTCTTGAAAGGCGCCAAGGTTGGTCCAGTCAAGAAAAAAAATAACATAAAGAAGTTTAAAAAGGTCTAAAAATCTTAGGGTTTTCATGGTCATTACCCCTGCCAGGAGAACTCATACTTTCTTAGACCTGGTGTCTGCATCAGAAACCCCCAGGAGCTCAGAAATCTTCAGTCCAAGCCAACTATGAATATGACTTGATACAGTTGTGATTATAATCTTGAACATGCTTCTGGCTCTCTGGTTATCATTCATACCCTTTGTGTTTAGACCTGACCTGTCCAGCACAGGCACCACTAGCCACATGTGGCCATTGAGCTCTTGCACTGTAGCTGGTCCAAACTGTGATGTGCTCTCAGTGTAGAGCACACACTGACTTTTCACAGGCTTAAACTGTCAGTCTCACCTGTTTTTACTTCTTAAAATGAGACTACTAGAAGATTTAAGATTTCATGTGGCTCACATACTATTTTTTATCGGACAGCACTGATTTAGAGTGAAAGGGTTTGACGTATATGTAAAGTTATGAAAGGAGTAAAGTACTTAAAATCTAGTATTTTTGGTTCTAAATGGTACCGAGCCTAGTTTAAGGAGATACTTCACACCTTATTTGTGAAGGAAGTTTAGATCACTTGCAGAGATCAGTAGTATTGACCAAAGAAATCAGGGAAGGTTAAGGGAAAAAAAAGATAGAATAGTTGAAAAAGAGAAGCCCCCAAAACTAGAGATAGACCCCAGATCTGGCTCATTACTTCCTAATGGTTAAGACAAAGAGAAGTTCAGCTAGAAAGTCCGTATGTCTACAGGGTGAAAACATACCAGTTGTGCAGGAGGAATGACTTTGCCTGGCCCTGAGCCACAGGAGGTGTTTTTCTTGGACTCTCATAAAGGGGACACTGTGATGTAGTGGGCAGCGTCCCCAGCAGTTTGCCTACCATGAAGACAGTGGTGGGTTTTATGCAGTGGTTTCTTAAGTCACCTGGTCCTGAAGACATGCTGACATGTTAGACTTCGGGTCCTCATCCATCCAGAGGTTGCTTTTTGTGGAGGCCTTGTGCTGGTGTGCCTCTCAGGTCTCCAGCTTCAGTGAGCATAACTGACCAACAGCACCAGCTGCTGCCCTCCAAGTTCAACATCGCTGAGGTCCCGCCTCCCACAGGCTGCTCCTGGTGACTCAACAAGGATCCTGTTGCGGGCCGGTTCTTGAGAGATGTGGGACTCTTCTGATAGGCGACTTTCCTCCACGACTTGCCATTGGCCTGGCTGAACTTTCTTAAACTTGTGCTGAAGTCTAAGACTCTTCTTATTCAACCCTTCTTCCCTCTCTCCTTTGCAGGGTCGCCTTCTCTGGCTCCTTCTTCTTTCCTCACAGGTGTTTCCCCAGTAAATGTCTTGCGCATCTCACCTTGTCTTGACGTTTGCTCCCCAAAGGACCCAGATCGATCCACCTAACTCCATTCTGGTTGGTGAGGAGACAGCAGAAAGAAAGTGCTAGTTAAACTCTAGATATTACCACAAAGCTTTTCCTCCAAACCCTGAAATCTCCTAGTGAGCTATGCATGAGGCTAAGAGAACTTTTGTATAGCCTGCTTGAAGGCTTAAGGCCTTCAGTATGAAAATAGTCCAGGCAGTCTTTTCTTCTGGGTGTGCAGCCTGAAATAAGCTCTTTGTATCTTGCACATCTGAAGGTAAGAAAATATGAACAAAATGACAGGCAAAAAAGAATGTTTGCCCAGTGCTTAGAGCAGACAGCCAATTTTACTCTCCTAGGGAAGGCTCCCATCCACCTCCAGCTGGCTCCAGAGTCTTGTCACTGCTTGAGTGAAATGGGAGGTCACAAATCCCAAATGACCGGCCAATGAGGCTAGCACTCCCAGGATACTAAGGGCAAAGAGAAAACCCAAAGCGTCAATGTCTTAGTCACACGCTGAGCATCATAACTAGCATTTGTCACATCTCAGCTTTGAATGACTTACATAGATGAAAGTTTAAAGTTGCATTTCCTGGCTGGAACCATGTTGCCAAGTGATTTAACAACTTACAGGGTCTGAACAGAACTCAGTTAGCTACCTGTCTAAAACAGTGATTACTGAGGCAGTTTCTGTAGAGTGGATCAGAAGACCTAGAGAAGAGAAAGCCGTAACCTAGACCTGTTTCCTAATCTTAGGTACTTTGTATTTAACCATTTTGCTGGGAGAAGAGTAAGGAGAGGTGGGTGAATAGGTTTTGTGTATATAGGCAGTAAAAATAGTGATAGCAATGATGATCAATATGTTGATGACAATTAGCACATTGTGTGTTGAGTATCTGGAGAGTACTACATTGAACAGAAAAAGTGTACATGTATTAAAGAGTCAGTATCTTTTTTAATTTTCAGGAAGCTTGTGAAGCTAAAAGAGTTAAAGCAAGCCAGCGTGTAATCATGAAGCAAATAACAGGAAGAAAATTTCAGGGATCTGGGAAGTTGAAGACTTACTGGAGTTAACCCAAGAAATCTGAGGTTTCCCTGAGGTAAAAAGACAAGGTTCCTGTAAGTTCCTATATGTTGTGGGTCACAGACATAGATAGGTCTCACTATTTTTTTTTTTTAATGCGTGGAAGTTCAGGGGTCAGAACTAGCCAACTCCCTTCTCCTTTTCCTCTCTTGTGTCCTTGAGCCCTCTCATCTCCTTGGCTTCTTGCTGTAGAGCCAGTTGGTCCTGGGAGTTGAGTCTAGGGTGTTGGGGGAAGGAGATGGCCTCATAGGCCCCCAATCCTTGACTTCTGTTCCAGGCCCGCTTTCCTGAGAGCTCAGCATTGGGGTTTCAATCACAAGCTTGTCCTGCAAGAGTGTTTTTTTTTTTTTTTCTTTTCCCACCAACCTTTGAGAATTAACCTCCCTTGTGGACTTCCACAGCAGTGGTGGCTTATGGTCAAGTATATGCTTTGAATATACCTGGATCCGGTGGCCTGTTTCTGGCGTGGCATTTCGGGTCTAGGCTTTAGCGTTGTATCTGATAGCATGTCCTTATTCAGCCATTGATAGCTGTGGGACCTTGATCCCTCTAGGTCTCAGACTTCTGTGGAAAGGACATCATAATTCCTATCTCATAGGGTTCTATAATGATTGCATTTGAAAAATGTATGTATCAAAGGCACTTACTATAGTGCCTTTCACAGATGATGAAGCTTTATTTGTCTGTAGTCTTCTGGGAGTTGTATGATAAGAATGTTTGGAAGTGATTTCCGTTGTGATGTTGGGGCAGTAGATGGAGAGTTATAAATGTATAGATGTTCCTACAGAACACAGTTGGTGCTTCTCTTGCCACTTCCTCTGGTCCAGTGCTGTTGTGAGATTTCATTATAGCCACAGTCGCTTTGGTTCATCATAGTCAAATTTGCTTGGAACGGTGGCTGTCCATTCATGCAGTCTGACCATTAGCACAGTCCAGGAGAGGTGGCAGTATGCACGGAAATAAAGCTCCTTTGCTGCTGTATGATTTATATGTATATTCTCACCTTAGAAAAGAGCAAAC